ACACAACTGCTCACCAATCAACGTTGAAACCCACTTTTAGCCAATATGGAAAACTTCAATTGCAATGCTAGCATGGACGCATCCACGAATTATATGCTTCAGCATTTTTACACATCCTTAACACAGGATTTACCGTTGCAAACCATAAACACAGCCACAATGTTGTCAACGTACGTAAATCCACAGAATATCGAACGTATGGTTCAATTGGAAATGGAACGCATTAAGGAGAATTGTGCCCGCAAGGAGGAACAGTACGTCGAACAAATGCTATCGGAGAATCCCATCATTATCGAAAGACGCACCAATGCCACTGCCGTGAATTGTCAGCAATCGGTGACAAGGCAACAACATCAAGGGGGATTGCAGCAGACGCAAATGTACCAACAAATCATGGACCCCACAGGTGCTGCAGTAATGCTATCGCCAAATGACAACACCATCACCGCCACCACTGCCACAGCCACTAGTTTATTGCCATTGAAACAGCAATCGTTCCATCAGCAGCAGCAACATCAACAACAACAACGTGCTGATGCTTGTCGCCGTTCTCGCTACAATAACAAAATCAAAAAAGCCAAAACCAAATACCGTCACAAATACATGTCCCAGAAGTTATTGCAGAGCACTCAAATGTTCGATTGCATTCAGGATCTCATCAGCCAAGCCGAAAGTCATTTACTCGCCCAAGGACTAACCAAAGACAAACTGCAGCAATTGCGTCTCAACTATGGCATGGATAAAGTCAAACCAGGACACCGTCAGCAAATTGGATCATAAACCGCGGCGAACATTAGCTGTTCCGGTCACAAGTAATTTGCATAGTCATGGTGGAGAAGTAGAAGGAGCAGATCTGCAACAAACTCACGTCCAAACGTTTGTGGTTTTATTACTTTTGTTTTATTGGTTCTCACAATGTTATCTAGTTTGTATAAATGTCAAATGTACATAAGTTGCATACATAAATATAAGTTATTTAATAAAACAAATTATAATCTAATTTAAAGTTTTGCGGTTTTTATATGATTTTGCTTTGCGGTTTGATTGAGAGAATGGTGGGTGAAGAGGGACTTTGTTTGAACTTTTGAATTTAAAGGGAAGAAAACATATGTTTTTGTAAAGGATGATTAAAAAAGTTTATAAGTTCGACCAGGCCGGATTTATAACACCTCCACCTTTAGGAAAAGAAAATGTTTGCGAATTAAAAGTGACAAAAGTCATTTTAAGATATTTATATTTAACCATTTTAGAACTTTAAATATCATACTACATGCAATGTGGTGAGAACCATAAGAATCCGGATAAAGAAAGGAACCGTTAAAGACAGGGATTTATCGAAACAAGGACGTATAGTGACCATCATCTTTTAGAGGCTTTGTCTGCTTTATAAACTTGAAAGTCACTGTTTTAGATAATTCTTTTTGAAAATATTTGGAGGCTTTACGAAACGCGCACATATAAAAAATTCTACCAAGGGACTCATATTTATACCCTACAACAATATGTGTTGGCTGTATTATAAGTTTGATTGGGCCAACAATTATGTAACACCTCGAAATATTGGTCCCCAACATAGGAAACTATGTATGGATCTTCCTATCTCGACGAGCTGATTCGATCTAGTTATGTATGTCTGTTCGTCCGTCTGTCCATGTTAATTTGTAATTACGCTACAGGTCGCAATTAAGGCCCGATTCAAAAAATTGAAAATGGAGGTGTGTTTAGGGTCAGAATAGAAGCCTATTGTTTTTGGAAATGATCGCAAAATATTTAGGGTTGAGATGAAAAAAAAAAAAACAGAAAAATTTCCTGATTTTCGTGTTTCCCTACAAGTCACAATTATAAACCAATTAATTTTTTGCATAGAATAAGAGTTTAGGGCTGGATAAGAACCTACAAATTTGGATGGTCATCGGACAATATCTAGTGAGTAAAATAAACTATAATTTTATGTCCAAAATAAGAAAATTTCCACTAAACAACCAATATTTTTAATCCCGTCCAAATCACAAATACGTTAAAAGCTCACTTCTGACCATTACAGTGATGTTAATAACCAAGATATCGGATATACAGCAAAATGGAACAATATATACGTGAAAGAAATTGATCTTATTTATTTTACTTATAAGTCAAGATCCGCTGGGCCGATTTTCACTTTTGCCAGAAAAGGACGAAATCTAAGAAAATCGAGGAAAAATATACCAAGAAAAATGTGTATATTTTTTTCTATCTTCGACATTTTTTTATCGCATGCGTTTTTTTAATTTGACTTATAATTTAAAATCACAAATTTTTGAAATTTTTACACCCCGCAACACTACGTGGGAGGGTATTATACACAGGTCACAAATATCGTCGATTCTTACGAAATTTGGATAGGGGAAGGGTTACGGTCAAAGATGTTTTAGGGATACAAATGCACCAAAAAATTTTAAATTTTCCTGATGTTGCAGTCGCTCTACAGGCCACAAAACAAATCGACACGGAATTTTACATGAGGAGAGAATTAATGGCAAGGAAGAAGTCTAGCATTTTGGATGACCATTTAAGTATATATTTAGCTGTAAAATGGACCACAACTTTCGTGTGAAATTGTTTTGAACACCTAACAACACGAGGAAGTGCGGAAATATTTGTCAAATTTCCTGGATCAAAAACCTGAATGTACCATCTGGGCAGGGCTCTATGATTATATCAAAAACGAAATCGTCCAAAATGCATTTGGGTATAAGGTGCTTCAACATATTGTGTTGTAGGGTATCACATGATCGGTCCCGCACCATTATTGCCTAGTATCTCAATCACAAAATGTCAAAAATTTCGCAGTAAATAATTTGCCGCATAAAACACGAAAATATCATCTAATTTTGTGCAAACTTTGCAAATCCCAATATTTTTATCAGTGTTAGGGCAGGTGCGAAAATGGGAAACATCGACCTAATCCATCAAGTAACTCCCACGTAAAGGGTCAAAATTTTGAATATCCACGTGGCTAAAAAAACGCAAAATCAACAGCAGTTTCCATTCAGACTTGGCACATCTTTATATTTCTTTCAACAAAAAATTTGTTATAAAGATTGTAGAGATCGGACCATTCCTTCTTGCACATCCCCCACAAAAGGTCAAACTTGTACATATCCAAAATAATTTTAAAATTCGAAATGCATCATATTTAACACATCCCAATATTTCTATGAATACATAATCGTTATTCCTGCTGACACAATATCTGCTATGAAGATGGGAAATGTCGGTCCACTCCTTCTGGTATCTACACCTCTCCCCCAACAAAGGGTCAACATTTTGAATATCCATGAAGCTCTAAAACGCGAAATAAACATCCGATTCCATTCAGACTTGGCACATCACTATATTTCCATCGACAGGTCTGTTATAAACATGGTAGAAATCGGATCATTACTTCTGCTATCTCCCACACAAAGGGTCAACAATTTGAATAACTAATCCGAAATAAACATTCGGTTTCCTTCATATTTCACACATTTCTATATTTCTATCAACACATAATCAGGTGTGAAGATGGAGTATGTCGGACCACTCCTTCTGGTACCTCCCCCACAAAGGGGTCAACGTTTGAATAAATATGAAGATCATAAAACGCGAAATGAGCATCTGATTATTTTCAAACTTCCCAATATTTCTACCAACACAAGACCTGGTGTAAAGATCGGACCACTCCCTCTGGTATCTCCCTCACAAAGGGTCAAAAATAACCGATTAGCTTATAAACGCGAAGTAAGCAACCGATTCCCTTCACATTTCACACATCCAAATATTTCTATCAACACAACATCTGGTGGGAAGATGGAATATATCGGACCACTTCTTCTGGTACCTCCCCCATAAATTCGATTTGATTCTCGTCAAATTTAACACATCTCAATTTGATTTACGATTATTGACATAAAATTGCAAATTAATTTTTGATTATCTTTAAATTTTGCACATTCCAATATTTTCCAAAATTTATCACATATAATAGTATACAGGGTGAGATGAAAAAACTGCAACCATCTGGAATCAGAATAAATGCCGAATATTATCGCGAAAATATTCTGGAGGGTGTATTAAAGCCTTTGGCCGTTTGAAGGCCATAATTCGTGCCAAAGGTGACCAATTCGAACAAATCTAAACTTGTTCTAAAATTAGATGCTATTTCTGAAATTTTTTTGCTTTCATTCAATAAAATTAGAAAAAAAAAATATGTAAAAAGTATAGCGTTTGACTTTGTTGCAGATTTGTTATCTCACCCTGTATGCAGTAGTATAGTCTGGCACGTTGTAATATTTATATCTGACATAGGTTGGATACGACATGGAAAATATTGGCCCACTCCTTCGGGAGTCAAAAGTCAAAATTTATTTTCATAAACGGATATGGGCGGAGGATATAAATCTGTTTACAAAAGCGACTAATTATTTCTAACTTGTTAAATGTGTTTTACCTCATAGTGGAGCGTTTCAAAAGTTCGAACTTAACTCTTTTTTTACTTATTTTGCTTTGTAATTTTTTTTTAATAAAAATGTTAACCTTTCTTTTCAGGCGAACAAAATATTAAAACAAAAGGTAGAGTGTGGTGAAATTGAATACAAATTATCACTAGTCTAAAGAGGAACAAATGGGGTTTCATTTTTTTCCAACTAAAATAAGGGGTGAGTTTGCTGTTTTATAAGTAGTTACTTTAAAAATGAGGTCATTGATTTATGACTTCCGCAGGAAGTGAACTGTCTTAAAAAATTACCCTTTAAACGTTCACATTTTAACCCGTTTTCTTTTTTTGCCAAATAACAATTAATCAATTTCCCTGCAATCACTAAATTAAAAAAATAATAATGCATTTAATTTAATTTTGTATTTATTAATTTTATTTTCGCTTAATCCTATTATCACAATCTAACTAAAAATAATTTTATTACCAAATCTAATAACATAATCAATTAACGAATCACAAACACACCCGCACACAAGTTCGAAACTCATGGCTCCGTTGGCAAAACAAAATCTACTGCATTGACGTCAACACGAACAATATTTGCTGGCCTTTCAATGCCATAATTCGAACGCAATTGATGCAGCTTCTCTTTGTGCAATCCTTGGGCGAGTAAATGACTTTCAGCCTCGGCAATTAGATCCTTAATACAATTCAGCATCTGACTGCTTTGCTGGAGTTTCTGGGAAATGTATTTGTGGCGATATTTCGACTTGGCTTTTTTCACTTTGTTGTTGTAGCGAGAACGTCGACATGCATCGGCACGTTGCTGCTGCAACCGTTGTTGTTCGGGTGATAATGAGCTGTCCGAGGTTGCCTTTCTTAGCACAGTGACGTTGTTGCGTCTTTCAAATGTAATTGGATTTTCGACCAACATTTGTTCCACATACTGTGCCTCTTTACGGGCGATGTTCTCCTGAATGCGTTTCATTTCCATTTCGACAATTTGATCGATGTTTTGCGGATTTAGTTGGGTCGATGAAATCGTTGTCGGTCCCAAACTTTCCAATGACAATTCTTGTGTCAGCGATGTGTAGAGGGGGTCCAAGAAGAGATTGGTTGAGCGGCTGGAGTTATATTGTTCCATGATTTTTTTCGTTTCGTGGAAAGAATTTCGAAATGTTTTCACTTTCACTGCTGCGAGTCTAATGCTTGTCACCAATTGTGTGGATTGCTATTTATAGTGGAATGCCATGAAAGGATAGTTCTCAGCTTGTACCTGACCATTTCCTGTTGTTAAAATGAAATTTGCGCAAGCCAACCAGGTATTGCAATTAGTTTATGACGTTGTTTTTTATAATTCGCTATTTATGACAGTGTTTTGGAAAGTGTGTAATTTTTGTTTATTCTTATTGTCGCGACGTCTGCAATTTCCTATTTTACCTGCATTCTGAGGTTATTCATACATAGAAACATTTGGGAATTTCCAATTGCCAATGCATAAAAAGGGATTTTGCATTCGTATGTATGGAGTGCTCAATTTACCAAGGAATGACACCAAGGACATTGAATAGTCGGCGTTTACGATAGATAATATTTGCAAGAAAATACTTAAATATATTCATATAAACAAAACCTTGTTAGGACATCCCATACATTCTGAGAGTAACATTATTTAGACACCCCTTTCTATCTGTCCGTCCAGTTTTTCAAATGACCATAACTCCTAAATATTGAGATTCGGCGTTTTTTAAGCTAGGATTAATGAAAACTTTAAAATGGTCATAACTCCTTAAATATTCACTTTTCGGCGTTTTTAGCTATGTTTTGTGATCAGTTTTTCAGGCATGAATTAATGAAAACTTTAAAATGGCCATAACTCCTTAAATATTCACTTTTTGGCGTTTTTAGCTATGTTTTGTGATCAGTTTTTTAGGCATGAATTAATGAAAACTTTAAAATGGCCATAACTCCATCAATATTCACTTTTTGACGTTTTAGCTATGTTTTGTGATCAATTTTTTAGGCATGAATTAATGAAAACTTTAAAATGGCCATAACTCCTTAAATATTCACTTTTCGGCGTTTTTAGCTATGTTTTGTGATCAGTTTTTTAGGCATGAATTAATGAAAACATTAAAAGGGCCATAACTCCTTAAATATTCACTTTTCGGCATGAATTAATGAAAACCTTAAAATGACCATAACTCCTTAAATATTAATTTTCGGCGTTTTTAGCTATGTTTTGTGATCAGTTTTTAGGCATGTATTAATGAAAACTTTAAAATGGCCATAACTCCTTAAATATTCACTTTTCGGCGTTTTTAGCTATGTTTTGTGATCAGTTTTTTTTAGCTAGAATTAATGAAAACTTTAAAATGGCCAAAATTCCTTAAATATTCACTTTTCGGCGTTTTTAGCTATGTTTTGTGATTAGTTTTTTAGTCATGAATTAATGAAAACTTTAAAATGGCCATAACTCCTTAAATATTCACTTTTCAGCGTTTTTAGCTATGTTTTGTGATCAGTTTTTTAGTCATGAATTAATGAAAACTTTAAAATGGCCATAACTCCTTAAATATTCACTTTTCAGCGTTTTTAGCTATGTTTTGTGATCAGTTTTTTAGGCATGAATTAATGAAAACTTTAAAATGGCCATAACTCCTTAAATATTCACTTTTCGGCGTTTTTAGCTATGTTTTGTGATCAGTTTTTTAGACATGAATTAATGAAAACTTTAAAATGGCCATAACTCCTTAAATATTCACTTTTCGGCGTTTTTAGCTATGTTTTGTGATCAGTTTTTAGGCATGAATTAATAAAAAATTTAAAATGGCCATAACTCCTTAAATATTTACTTTTCGGCGTTTTAGCTATGTTTTGTGATCAGTTTTTTAAGCTAGAATTAATGAAAACTTTAAAATGGCCATAACTCCTTAAATATTCACTTTTCGACGTTTTTAGCTATGTTTTGTGGTCAGTTTTTTAGGCTAGAACTAATGAAAACTTTAAAATGGCCATAACTCCTTAAATATTCACTTTTCGGCGTTTTTAGCTATGTTTTGTGATCAGTTTTTAGGCATGAATTAATAAAAAATTTAAAATGGCCATAACTCCTTAAATATTCACTTTTCGACGTTTTTAGCTATGTTTTGTGATCAGTTTTTTAGGCATGAATTAATGAAAACTTTAAAATGGCCATAACTCCTTAAATATTCACTTTTCGGCGTTTTTAGCTATGTTTTGTGATCTGGCTTTTAGGCTAGAAATTATGAAAACTTTAAAATGAAAACTTTAAAATGGCCATAAGTCCTTAAATATTTACTTTTCGGCGTTTTTAGCTATGCTTTGTGATCAGTTTTTTAGGCATGAATTAATGAAAACTTTAAAATGGCCATAAGTCCTTAAATATTACTTTTCGGCGTTTTAGCTATGCTTTGTGATCAGTTTTTTAGGCATGAATTAATGAAAACTTTAAAATTGCCATAACTCCTTAAATATTCACTTTTCGGCGTTTTTAGCTATGTTTTGTGATCAGTTTTTTAGGCATGAATTAATGAAAACTTTAAATGGCCATAACTCCTTAAATATTCACTTTTCGGCGTTTTTAGCTATGTTTTGTGATCTGGCTTTTAGGCTAGAAATTATGAAACTTTAAAATGAAAACTTTAAAATGGCCATAACTCCTTAAATATTTACTTTTCGGCGTTTTTAGCTATGTTTTGTGATCAGTTTTTAGGCATGAATTAATAAAAATTTAAAATGGCCATAACTCCTTAATATTCACTTTTCGACGTTTTTAGCTATGTTTTGTGATCAGTTTTTTAGGCATGAATTAATGAAAACTTTAAAATGGCCATAACTCCTTAAATATTCACTTTTCGGCGTTTTTAGCTATGTTTTGTGATCTGGCTTTTAGGCTAGAAATTATGAAAACTTTAAAATGAAAACTTTAAAATGGCCATAAGTCCTTAAATATTTACTTTTCGGCGTTTTTAGCTATGCTTTGTGATCAGTTTTTTAGGCATGAATTAATGAAAACTTTAAAATTGCCATAACTCCTTAAATATTCACTTTTCGGCGTTTTTAGCTATGCTTTGTGATCAGTTTTTTAGGCATGAATTAATGAAAACTTTAAAATGGCCATAACTCCTTAAATATTCACTTTTCGGCGTTTTTAGCTATGTTTTGTGATCAGTTTTTAGGCATGAATTAATGAAAACTTTAAAATGGCCATAACTCCTTAAATATTCACTTTTCGGCGTTTTTAGCTATGTTTTGTGATCAATTTTTTTAGGCATGAATTATGAAAACTTTAAAATGGCCAGAACTCCTTAAATATTCACTTTTCGGCGTTTTAGCTATGTTTTGTGATCAGTTTTTTAGGCATGAATTAATGAAAACTTTAAAATGGCCATAACTCCTTAAATATTCACTTTTCGGCGTTTTTAGCTATGTTTTGTGATCAGTTTTTTAGGCATGAATTAATGAAAACTTTAAAATGGCCATAACTCCTTAAATATGCACTTTTCGGCGTTTTTAACTATGTTTTGTGATCAGTTTTTTAGGCATGAATTAATGAAAACTTTAAAATGGCCATAACTCCTTAAATATTCACTTTTCGGCGTTTTTAGCTATGTTTTGTGATCAGTTTTTTAGGCATGAATTAATGAAAATTTAAAATGGCCATAACTCCTTAAATATTCACTTTTCGGCGTTTTTAGCTATGTTTTGTGATCAGTTTTTTAGGCATGAATTAATGAAAACTTTAAAATGGCCATAACTCCTTAAATATTCACTTTTCGGCGTTTTTAGCTATGTTTTGTGATCAATTTTTTTAGGCATGAATTATGAAAACTTTAAAATGGCCAGAACTCCTTAAATATTCACTTTTCGGCGTTTTAGCTATGTTTTGTGATCAGTTTTTTAGGCATGAATTAATGAAAACTTTAAAATGGCCATAACTCCTTAAATATTCACTTTCGGCGTTTTTAGCTATGCTTTGTGATCAGTTTTTTAGGCATGAATTAATGAAAACTTTAAAATGGCCATAACTCCTTAAATATTCACTTTTCGGCGTTTTTAGCTATGTTTTGTGATCAATTTTTTTAGGCATGAATTATGAAAACTTTAAAATGGCCAGAACTTCTTAAATATTCACTTTTCAGCGTTTTTAGCTATTTTTAACTTTAAAATGGCCATAACTCCTTAAATATTCACTTTTCGGCGATTTCAGCTATGTTTTGGGATCAGTTTTTTAGGCATGAATTAATGAAAACTTTAAAATGGCCATAACTCCTTAAATATTCACTTTTTAGCTATGTTTTGTGATCAGTTTTTTAGGCATGAATTAATGAAAACTTTAAAATGGACATAACTCCTTAAATATTCACTTTTCGGCGTTTTTAGCTATGTTTTGTGATCAGTTTTTTAGGCATGAATTAATGAAAACTTTAAAATGGCCATAACCCCTTAAATATTCACTTTCGGCGTTTTTAGCTATGTTTTGTGATCAGTTATTTAGGCATGAATTAATGAACACTTTAAGATGGCCATAACTCCTTAAATATTGGCCATAACTCCTTAATATTCACTTTTCGGCGTTTTTAGCTATGTTTTGTGATCAGTTTTTTAGGCATGAATTAATGAAAACTTTAAAATGGCCATAACTCCTTAAATATTCACTTTTCGGCATTTTTAGCTATGTTTGTGATCAGTTTTTAGGCATGAATTAATGAAAACTTTAAAATGGCCATAACTCCTTAAATATTCACTTTTCGGCGTTTTTAGCTATGTTTTGTGATCAGTTTTTTAGGCATGAATTAATGAAAACTTTAAAATGGCCATAACTCCTTAAATATTCACTTTTCGGCATTTTTAGCTATGTTTTGTGATCAGTTTTTAGGCATGAATTAATGAAAACTTTAAAATGGCCATAACTCCTTAAATATTCACTTTTCGGCGTTTTTAGCTATGTTTTGTGATCAGTTTTTTAGGCATGAATTAATGAACACTTTAAGATGGCCATAACTCCTTAAATATTCCCTTTTCGGCGTTTTTAGCAATGCTTTGTGATCAGTTTTTTAGGCAGGAACTAATGAAAACTTTAAAATGGCCATAACTCCTTAAATATTCACTTTTCGGCGT